GAAAGGCACAGCTCCCACAGCAACAAGGCCAGGCTCTATCATTACTCTGTTTACCGTCCTGCATCCCAGCTGGGCTCTGACGCCTTCCTTTCTTTTTCCCACATCTAGTTGGTTGTTAAGTCTAAAATCCCCTACCCTCAATGTCTGCTGCTGAGCCTTCTCCTCTCTATCCCTGCAGGCCATCATCCATTTCTTACATGGACAAGAGCAACTGACATCCCTGCAGGGCTCCAGACAGACGGGCAACAGGTGTGCCAAGAGTTCTGTCTCAGCCCGCAGGGTGGCCAGACCAGGCTTGTGGAGGCTGGAGCCTCTGGACCAGCATCTTGCAGCCTAAGGACACCTCATCTGCTAATCTCAGCAGGCAGCTCCAACGTCGTCATTTTTCATGTTGCTTCCACGTGGGAAATGTGGGGAGGACCAATCTCCCAAGCATCCTCTTCTGCCCACTCAGACCCATCCTAGGCACTGTGGCCAGATTCATCTCCGTGGAGTCCAACTAGGACAGTGCAGCTTGCCTTCAGAGCGGCCATCAGGATTCTGCACCATGTGAAAGTTACTGACAGCTACAAGGGCAGGCAAGAAGACCCAGCCCCGGGGTCTTTCTACCGCAAGAGTCCCATGGATTGAGAGGATGTGCAGAGAAAAGCAGCCTCTGAAAACATCTGGGAAGCTCACCCCCCAACCTGCTCCTTCAGCTGGGATGGTGGTTCTCAAACCCTGCAGCGTACAAGGATCACCCACAGCAGTTGGGAGAAATGCAGGTTCCAGGACCTCCTCCTGCCCCACCCAAATGTTTCACCAGTGTGTTTGCAACAAGACCCAGCAGTCTGCATTTTCAGGGAACACACTGTGGACACAGACCTTACTTTGAGAAACAGTGCCCTGAGGATCTCTGCTAACCGGCCGATTTCACCTAATCACTTCAGAAGATGAAACAATGGCATGTGGGCAGGAATTTGCAGTAAAAAGCAGTGTTTCAGCCTAAAATCTCAAATCAAACACACTTCTTCGAAAAAAAAATATATAT